TTTGCCTGTAAGCAAAAACTGGTGGGATCATAAAATAGAGAAAGTCATAGAAAATGATAAAATTAAACTGCTCTGGGACTTCAGAATTCAAACAGACAAGCACCTGCAACATAACACCCCAGACTTAACAATTGTCGATAAGAAAGACAAAAAAGTCTGGATAGTGGACGTGGCAGTGCCTGGAGACAGCAGAATAGAAGAGAAAGAACTGGAGAAGATAACAAAATACAAAGACCTACAAATAGAAATAGAAAGACTGTGGCAAAAGCAAGCAAGGGTAGTACCAATAGTCATAGGCTCCTTGGGCGCAATCCCAAAACAACTGGAGCACCACTTGAACACCATTGGCATTGACAAATTTGCTATTAGTCAATTGCAAAAGGTGGCCTTATTAGAAACTGCTTCCATCCTGCGACGATACCTGTAATACCATCAAACATCTACTTCTGCCTATCCCAGGTCCTGGGTAAGGACTCGATAGGTAGACAAAATGCCAAATCCAGTCTGAACATCTGGCTGACTGTGCGATGATTGATAATAATAATTCAGAATGTAGAGGCAAACCAGGGGGAGTTGGCAGTGAAGGAATCCAGCAGAGATATACAACTGTTCTCATTTGGAAACCAGGCACCTCTACCTCAGGAAGAACAAAACCCTCTAACTAAAGAAATAAAAGAATTGAAACAAAGAATAACTGAGCATCTAGAACAGCACAAAAACAACAGAATAAGGCTGTCTGCATTGAAGCTTGTTCCAAAGAAACTGCTAGCACAAGCATTAAAAGATACAAATACTGCAATATCCAGTATAAGCACCAATTCACTGCAAGAAACAAACCAACTAATGTACAGCACAGCTGCAGTTATAACTGAATACCTGGGATGCAAAATCAACAAAGAAGAAAAACAAACCAACAGTGCACCACAAATATGGAAGGTTAGACTAGAAAATAAGATCAGCAAGTTAAGATCACATGCAAGCAAGCTAGAACAGATGAAAGAAAAGAAGCTGAAGAACAAGAAGACCAAAGAATACCTAATCAAGAAATACCACTTAGAAACAAGGAAGATCAAGGAAGCACTGGAAATAATAAAGCAACAAATAACAGCTATAGCCAGGAAAATCAGTAGATATGAAGCTTGAATTGCAAACTATAGGCAGAACCTCCAATTTCAATCCAATCAGAAACGTTTCTACCAATCCATCAATGGAGAAACTGCAAGGAATCAGTCAGTACCTGACAAGGAAGAAACAGTGCAGTTCTGGAAGCAGATATGGGATAACCCAAAGAAATACAACAAGGATGCGGCTTGGTTAAAAGAGGTGGATGCAAATAAAACAGAAGTTGAAATGAAAGAACTAGTAATAACAACAAAAATGGTAGAAAAAAGAGCAAAGAAAATCAAAAATTGGTCAGCACCAGGTGAAGATGAACTGCATGGGTTTTGGTTGAAACATCTAACTGTTATACACCCACTCATTGTCAAGCAGTTCAACAATATACTACAAGGAGGAGAAATTGAAAAGTGGCTAACAACTGGGAAAATCTACCTAATAATGAAAAATCCAGCAAAAGGGGCAACACCAGGCAACTACAGGCCAATTACCTGCTTACCCACAACTTTCAAATTACTAACTGGTGTGGTAGCTGATGCAGTACAACAGCATCTAGTTGAAAACAATCTCTTTCCACCTGAGCAGAAAGGAAACCACCCTAATAGCAAAGGAACAAAAGATCAACTCCTAATAGACAAAACGATCTTGGAAAACTGCAAGAAAAGGAAGACCAACCTGAATGTGGCATGGATTGACTACAAAAAGGCATTTGACTCTCTGCCACATGACTGGATAATCAAGTGCCTAGAAATAACAGGAGTCAGTAGAAACATCAGAAAATTTGTGCAAAGATCGATGGCACAATGGAAGACACAGTTGCAGATCAATGGTGAGAGCTGGGAGAGGTTAATATCAAGAGAGGAATATTTCAAGGAGATTCATTATCACCATTACTATTTGTTATTGCACTGTTTCCTCTGTCAACAATACTGAATAACTCAGGACATGGCTATCAAACATCAAAAACATCTACCAGACTATCCCATCTCCTTTACATGGATGATCTGAAGCTGTATGGAAAAACATCATCTGAAATAGAATTGCTGCTCAACACTGTCCGTATATATATTCAAGATATTGTTATGGAGTTTGGCTTGGACAAATGTGCCACACTTACTATCAAACAAGGAAAAGTAGTGAAAACTGAAGGAATCAAGATGCCCCACGAAAATAACATTAAGACTCTGGATGAGGAAGATTACTACAAATACTTGGGTATCCTTCAAGCTGACAACATCAAGCAGACTGAAGTCAAGAAAAAGATTAGAGGTGAATACATCAAGAGAGTGAAGAGGATCTTAAAGTCCAAACTCAATGGAGGAAATACCATAAAGGCAATCAACACCTGGGCAATTCCAGTGATTAGGTACACAGCTAGAATAGTGGACTGGACTCAAGCAGAACTAAAAGCAATGGATAGGAAGACCAGAAAAATAATGACAATGAATCATGCCCTTCATCCATGCAGTGACATTGACAGACTTTATCTACCAAGGCAAATAGGTGGGCGTGGAATGCTACAAGTACATCAGATGGTTGAAGAAGAAAAAATGGCTTTGGAAGACTATCTGAAGAACAATGATGAAGATGCACCGAAATTAGTATATCAGGAAGGCTTACTGACTACTGGAGAGACCAAACTGGCCTACAAGAAAGACCAAATGAAGAACAGAATAGAGACATGTGAAGACAAAGCACTACATGGCCATTACATTAAAAAAATAGCTGGGAAAGCAGATAATAACAAGACATGGCAATGGTTAAGAGCAGGAAAATTGAAGAAAGAGACCGAGGGACTAATTCTGGCTGCACAAGACCAAGCCTTAAGGACAAATGCATATAAAGTCAAAATTGAGAAGACAGCAACAGACAGTAAGTGCCGCCTATGCAAAGAACCTGAAGAAGTAGTGGACCATTTGGTACGCTGTTGCAAGAACATTGCACAGACTGACTACAAGCAGCGGTATGACAAAGTAGCAACAATGGTTCATTGGAAGATCTGCAAAAAATATCATTTGCCTGTAAGCAAAAACTGGTGGGATCATAAAATAGAGAAAGTCATAGAAAATGATAAAATTAAACTGCTCTGGGACTTCAGAATTCAAACAGACAAGCACCTGCAACATAACACCCCAGACTTAACAATTGTCGATAAGAAAGACAAAAAAGTCTGGATAGTGGACGTGGCAGTGCCTGGAGATAGCAGAATAGAAGAGAAAGAACTGGAGAAGATAACAAAATACAAAGACCTACAAATAGAAATAGAAAGACTGTGGCAAAAGCAAGCAAGGGTAGTACCAATAGTAATAGGCTTCTTGGGTGCAATCCCAAAACAACTGGAGCACCACTTGAACACCATTGGCATTGACAAATTCGCTATTAGTCAATTGCAAAAGGCGGCCTTACTAGGAACTGCTTCCATCCTGCGACGATATCTGTAATACCATCAAACATCCACATCTACCTATCCCAGGTCCTGGGTAAGGACTCGATAGGTAGACAAAATGCCAAATCCAGTCTGAACATCTGGCTGACTGTGCGATGATCCATAATAAAGTTTGAAGGGACCTTGGAGGTCATCTAGTCCAACCCTCTGCTCAGGCAGGAAAGCCTACACCATTTTGGACAAATGGCTGTCCAGTCTCTTCTTTAAAACTTCCAGTGTTGGAGAATCAGTCATTGTTTACCTTTAGTCTAGCAGTTTTGGAGAGACAAAGTAGAAGCAGAAACAATAATTAAAGTATTTATTACTTTTCTTTCTGCATTTCATCTTTAAAACTTAATGCACATTCCTTCCTTCTATTAATTGTGTTGACATTATATTAATAATAGCCACTTTTCACCTTTTTCTCCCATTCTGATCTGCTGTAACTACTATCTAGCCATGGACTGAAATCCTCATGATTCTCCTTGGGAGTTATCTGACTGAGACTGCTTAGAATTGACATTCAGCAAAATTACAAGGGATCATAATTTGCTCACTGCTGTCTAGGCTGGAGAAGAGTTTTAAAGCTTGAACCTTATTTATGGATTTTAAATTAACACAATAAAGATTTTTGCATTTGACTGACATCATTCACCTAATATTTCCTTCTCCATTTTATTATTGTGCAAAATCACTACCCACATTTGGATAATTAACTGCATGATAAAATAAATAAATTAAATCCAGATGATACAAAGGTGCAGAACATGGAGAATGAAGTACCACTTTGGATGGATTGCATTATCTGAGAAAGAGAGGTCCACAGTCTGGGAATGCTCCTTAATTCTGAGTTGTCGCTAAGCCCACAACATCCGCTGTAAAAAAGTGGCATTTATAAATTACTACTAGTACAAATGGTTACACCAGCTATAACCATTCCTGACCTTAGCTGCAACTTCCCATGTGTTGGTTATATCCTTTCTTACTTTTGCAAAGCGTTTGAAAATTGCAAAATACAAATACTGAAGCTAAATAAAGGGACCAGATAAAGGTATCACATAATGTTTGTACTGAAGGATATATGCTAGTTGCAAATTGCCTGTGAGGCATTATTTAACGTGATGTGCCAACCTTTAAAATCCTAAGTATCCATCCTGGTATAAAATTGCCAGATTATTTAGCTAGCAAATGTCTTTTTGAAGATATTTCTAAGTCTTATCTATCTGGTATTACAGGAAAAGGTCTTATCTTGTGTGGACACCAGACTATGGAATATTTTCTGAGGAGAATTCACTCCTCTTCTAGTATTTTGAAAAGTGGTAAAAATAAAATTCTTTCATTAAGTTTGTACAAATTTATTTTATATTAATGTTATGTTTACTCATTTTTAAATAGTAAATTGATAAATTTATATTTTGAATCTTTTAGGCTAATAATTTTAAAATATTTCCATTTATAGAAATACAAGCATTAACTGAGAAGAGAAGGTTGTATTTGGATAATATAGAATTAATGCAGAAAGATTTGAAAGTTTTGCAGGCCGCTGCAGTTATTCAGCCAGACAATGGTAAGTAATTAATTTTTAGTATGTTAACATGCTAGGCACTTTTGTGATTTCTCAGCAGTATTTTGTTTTAGTCTGTAAAATATATGTAAAAATTTAAATATATATTTGGTTGACAACATAGTACTAATAATGACAAAAATAATTCTTAGTTTAGTGTGGGGAAGCATTCAACGATGGTTAATTCTTCTTATAGCCTAGGAAAGCAAGAATCATATCTTAATTATTTTTAACTCTAGATTTGATGAAATGGGATTAATCTTTCCTTCCTCATAGAGGTCCTCCAATTGTTCTGGGACATTTTCTGCAAATATCTGCAGGGAGAATTAGGAACTGATAAAAAATTGTCTTCAATTTTTTTCTGATGACAGGTTTATGTCTCATTATACATCATATAGCTAAAATTAGAACTGGCATTTCAAATCGTTCTTCCACTTCTGTATTGCTATATGACAAAAGGATCCAGCAAACTTCTCACTTTCTTTTTAATTTCCCAAAGAGATAGGCATTTTACTAGAAGAAGAGGGTACCAGCCCATAGGTCAACTCTTGATTATGCTTCTTTTTAAAAAATAAAATAAAAATGTTTTATTGATTTTTAACATAATCACCTTAATATTTGGTAAACATGTTGTCTGGGTTAGTATTTAAAAAACAACCAATAAAAATTAATTTCTATAATTCTGTATCCATATAATGACTTTGCTTTATTTTCTCTTCTTCCAATAATATTCTTTTTTGCCAGCCTTAAATTAATACAGTTCTTATTATTTGAATAATGATAATTAAATATAGACATTTTTCTCATGTTTCTGCAAATAATAACCATATCAATATAAAGCTTCTTTTCTAATTGCCTTGTCATAGATCCTGTTTACAGAATTCTTATTTAAATTTGTTTTCCCCACAATATTCAAAGCATTTTTATTAGTTAAGATTTTCACAAAATTAGTTACACTTAAGTATTTAAGTTTTTTTTTTCTCATACAAGCCATCCAACACTTTTACATTTCTCATATCTTTAAAAAAGAAAAAAACAGAAAATATTTCTTTTGTATAAACCATCCCAACATTTTTATATTTTTCATGTCAAAAAACAAATGAAAAAAGAAAGAAAAAAATACTATGTTACTTGAGGGGTTCATCCCTCTTAAACGAATCTTCATTTATATCCAAAATCTTTCTATTTCTTTAACCATATTCAAACAGATGTTTAATTTTTAAATATTCCCTCTGGTAAATTCCATCATCTAATTTCTTAATTCTCATTTTAGCCCTTTTTTTGCCAAACATCTTTTCTGATCAATATGCTTCATGAATCAAAAAAATCTTTCCATAATCTTAATCTTTTCTGCTTTTTATTTTATGAAAATTTTTGTGTTGTAAAGTTAAACTGGAGATGTGTTCGTTTATATTTTCAAAGTTATTTTTAATCTCCTCATGGTTTGAGATCTCTGTTGTTTGGATTAGTTTCAACATAGCATAGATCTTCTGGAAAGTATTTCTTTTTTCTTGGTATAGTCTTTCTGCAGATCTCTGGTTTTCCATGATAGCTAAAAATCAGGGTTTTCCTTTCTCTGCAGACAGCTTTAGAGTCACAGTTGAATTGGTATTTGTAATCCAGAAAGGTCAATTCTTTTTTTTACAGTTTATAATTCTCACTTTGTAGATAGCCCAAAATGTTTTCTTTCTTTTTTGTCACAGCTGTTCTCTGTTGTTAAGACATTGAAGGTCACCAAAACTAAGTTATCTTTTCCTGGGCTTTGCCAGTCCCTGTAAAAAAGCAACTGTTGTTGTATATTTTCATCCAGCACTAGATGTCAGCACCAGTCAGTAATAGACAATTGTTTACTTCTATTTTCATGATTTGAAAGGAAAACCTTAACAGATTCCACCGATTTCAAACATCCAAATTAAGTCTTATATTCATTTCATTTCAGTATATTTCTGTTCCCTCTGAAATGTTTAATTTGCTGCTTCCATCTGTAGGAGGGTGGGGCAAAGAGCCCCCCCTTCTCACTTTCAGAGGCTTTTTGCTTCTTGGGGTTTTTCTTTTTCCCCCAGGAAATCAATTTTTTAGTAGAAGAGAGAAAATCACTGTTACTACCTAGTTCCAAACATGTTGTTTACAGTCAGCTTAAAGTAGTGCTTTTGGGCTTCGGCTGCTTGTAGCTTGGGCTAGACTACAGGTCGGCAACCTGTGGCTCCGGAGCCGCATGTGGCTCTTTGAGCCTTCCCCTGTGGCTCCCAGCCTCCTCTGCATTTGCAGAGAGAGACAGAGACAGAACTTTTCTCCCTCTCTCCTTCTCTCTCTCTGTGTTTGTGTTTTTTTTGTGTGTGTGCGTGTGTGTAAAAAAAAGAGAGTGGAGTCATGGTGTTCTCCGACGAGCTGAAAAGCTTACTGGGTGGAGCTTCTGCCTTGGCTGTGTCTCTGCAGGAAACAGGAAGCAGGAGAGAGCTAGCTAGCTCAGCTATGCTGGCTCAGGAATTCTGAGAGTTGAAGTCCATGAGTCATAAAAGAGCCTACCCCTGAGCTTGTTGGAGAACAGCTTGAAGCCAGCTTGCCAGGTGAGCAGAAGTTTGGAGAGAGGGAGGGGGAGAGGGAGGGGGGAGAGAGAGGGGGGGAGAGAAAGAGAGAAAGAAAGAGAAAGAGAGAGAGAAAGAGAGAGAGAGAGGAAAGAGAGAGAGGTCCTCTTGGGGGAAGAGGACTGGCAGACCAAAGGCAGAAAGAGAGAGAGAAACAGACAGACAGACAGACAGAGAGACCCTTTTGACATCTAAAATGGAGATAACACTGTATATATCCTTTTTTAGCTTTATGATATATATATGAAACGGGTCCAAGTGGCTCTTTGAGTATTTTTGGTTGCCTATCCCTGGGCTAGACTCTGAAGTTAAGCTAGCCTTTCTCCTGCTGGTTTCTGGAGGGCTTTTCCCAAACTGATCGGATGGATCACTGCTTCTCTGCAATCGGCAGGACTTCCTTTCTTCTTTGTTGCCACTACGGGGCAACTTCAGGCCCATTTAGGGTCTCCTAGCAGGCAGAAATTTGCCTTAGGGTGAGGAGCCCTGTAATCCCTCGGCTGCTGCACTACTGCGCAAAAGCAGAAGCCCTCTTGATTATGCTTCTGATCTACTTAGATCTACTTATGCTACTAGATGTTTGTTCCAGGTATTATAAAATCTTACATTTTTCCAAAATTTCTGATTGCTCAATCAGCATTTGAGTGATGTGTTGCTGCTCTTAAATTTTTAGTGTTTTCGTAAATATTATTTATGATATTGCTAGTTTAATGTGTTTTATTTCAATTGCTTTTAATACATCCTAACCTCTAAAACTGCTTCCAGTTTATTTCTATGGTGTACATTTCTAAAAAAAATAATGTTCTTTATATGCAGAACAGATAGTTCAATTGTTAGCCGAGCAAAAAATAATTTTGTTTGACAATCTGGAGAAAATTATTCAAGATGTGGAACAAGCACAAAACCTTGACTTAGAAAATGGTTTGATGAAAAGATCTGATGGTAAGATATTAATATAAAATTGTAGGGAAATCTATTAATGTTATCTGATCTAGAAAGAGCATTGCCATAATCTAATACGTTTTCTGCAGTTCTTTTTAAAGGACAACCGTTGTTAATTGATGCTGCTGGGGGGAGGGGAGATAAGAGCATTCTAAATCCCTGGTGAAAATGTTTATGTTAGACAGAATTCTAGAGAAATCATTACTGATTGTTTTAATTATGAACTTAGCAGGTAGCAATATCTTATTAATGCAATATCTTTTATACTGTTATGTTGTGGAAGGGTGTTTACATTAAATGTATATATAAATATATATTTCATATCCAAACTTTCAATTATATTTCATTTTTAAACAAACATTCTTCTTTGTGATTTCTGTATATTGCTCTTATAGTGATTCCTTTGTGTGGACAGAGCTTCTGTCAGAGCTTCTCTAGCTGTAGAGAATTTTTTTTCTATGTAGCTTCAGCACATCTGTTCTTGGGCTAGATTCTCAGTTGTCCCTGGGGTACTACTACAACTACAACAACAACAACTACTATTACTATACTACTACTATTACTACTACTACTACTACTACTAATAATAATAATAATAATAGAGTTAGAAGGGACCTTGGAGGACTTTTAGTCCAGCCCCTTGCTCAGGCATGAAACCCTATACCAGCGGTTCTCAACCTGTGGGTTGCAACCCTTTTGGGGGTCGAATGACCTTTTCACAGGGGTCGCCTAAGACCAGCAGAAAACACTGCTCTGCATCCGTCTCCGCATGGCCTCCTCCGCCATTTCAGAAAGAGAGACAGAGAGGCACTTTCGCTTCCCTTCTCTCTCTCTCTCTCTCTCAGGTGGATTTACCTCCTGCAAGGCTCCTGATTGGCCCTGCACCCAGGTGCCCCACCCCTTGGGAGAAGCGCGGACAGGGCCTCGTAGCCTTGGAGCTGCCCAGGGAAGCCCCGGGATCCCTATTGGGAGTGGCCCGCTGGAGGGTCCCCTGAGTGGGCCAGTCCTCCTGCAAGCCATGGCCCAAGGGAGACCAGCCCCTGCAATCCCCAGGCAGCCTGACCATTGGACCCTCTGGCCAGGAAGACGTGCCGGAGTCCAGGCTGCTGGGAAGGAAGAAGGAGATTCAGCAAAGGTAGGAGAGGAGAACCACCTCCTTGGGCCCAGCGCTGGTGGTGGCTTCCTTGCCATCCTCTTCCTCATCCCCGTCTTCCTCCTGCTGCCCCCAAGGCGGCTCGGGTGGGCACTGGGGCAAAAGGGGTGCCTGGGGGGAGCAGCCGGGCTGGCAGAGGGGCTGGCAGGGGCCACGTGGCACCAGCCCCCACTGCGGCTCCATCGGATGGGTGGAGGGCAAGGCTGGGCAGCGCGGAGTCTAGTTGGGGTGGCGGCAGCAGTTTTCTCGTCCTTCCCCTCTCCTTCTTCCTGCTGCCCCCAAGGCAGCTCTGGCAGGCATCGGGGCAAGAGGGTTGTCTGCGGGGAGCAGCTGGGCTGGCGGAGGGGCTGGTGGGCCATGCAGCTCCAGCTCCCACCACAGCTCCATCAATGGACAGAGGACGAGGCTGGCAACATGGAGTCCTGGCGGGAGTGGCGGCTGGGCCGGTGGCAGCGGGGACCCCCGACGATGCTGCTGTAAGAGAGAGAAAGAGAGAGAGGAAAGAGAGAGCAACAGAGGAAAAGAGAGAGGAAAGAGAAAGAAAGAGAGAGAGGAAAGACAGAAAGAGAAAGGGAGGAAACAGAAAAAGAGGAAAGAGAAAAAGAGGAAAGAGAAAGAGAGAGAAAGAGAGCAGAAAGAGAGAAATAGGAGGAGAGGAAAGAAAAAAGAGGAAAAGGGGAAAGAGAGGAAAGTGAGAGAGAGAAGAGAGAGGAAAGAGAGAGAAAGAGAAGAGAGAGAGGAAGGAGAAAGAGGAAAGAGAAAGAGAGAGGAAAGAGAAACAGGAAAAGAGAGGAAAGAGAGAAAGAGAAAGAGGGAAGAAAGAGAGAGAAAAAGAGAAATAGGAAAGAGAGAAGAGAGAGAGGAAAGAGAAAGAGAGGAGGGAAAGAGAGAAAGAGAGAGAGAGGAGAGAAAGAGAGGAGGGAAAGAGAGAAAGAGAGAGAGAGGAAAGAGAGAGAGAAAGCGAGAAAGAGAGAGAGGAATGGTGCTTCCAACCCGGCTGGACGGAGCCGGCGGAGCGGCCTTCCTGCCCCCCCCGCCAGCTGGATGGGGGTTGAGGGTCATCACAACATGAGGAACTGTATTAAAGGGTTGCGGCATTAGGAAGGTTGAGAACCACTGCCCTATACCATTTCAGACAAATCATTGTCCAGTCTCTTCTTAAAAACTTCCAGTGTTGGAGCATTCACAACTTCTGGAGACAAGCAGTTCCACTGATTAATTGTTCTAGCTGTCAGGAAATTTTTCCTTAGTTCTAGGTTGATTCTCTCCTTGAGTAGTTTTCACCCGTTACTTCTTATCCTGCCTTCTGGTGCTTTGGAGAATAGCTTGATTCCCTCTTCTTTGTGGCAACCCCTGACATATTGGAACACTGCTATCATGTCACCCCTAGTTTTTCTCTTCATTAAACTAAATATACCTAATTCCAGTAACCGTTCTTTATATGTTTTAGCCTCCAGTCTCCTAATCAGCGTTGTTGTTCTTCTCTGTACTCTTTCTAGAGTCTCAACATTTTTTTTACATTGTGGTGACCAAAACTGGAGGCAGAATTCCAAGTGTGGTCTTACCATGGTGTTATAATGTGATATTAACACTTCTTGTGATCTTGATTCTATCCCATTGTTAATGCAGTCTAGCACTGTGTTAGCTTTTTTGGCAGCTGTAGCACACTGCTGGCTCATAGTTAAGTGGTTGTCCATTAGGACTCTGAGATCCCTATCACAGTTACTACTATTGAGCAAGGTACCACCCATACTGTACCTGCATTTGTTTTTTCTTGCCTAAATGTAGAACCTTACTCTTCATCATTGAATTTCATTTTGTTAGATAGTGCCCTATGTTCAGGTCTGTCCAGATCCTTCTGTATCTTAAACCTATCTTCTGGAGTGTTGGCTATTCCTGTCAGCTTGGTGTGGACTGCAAATTTGATGAGTTCCCCATCTATTCCCCTCACCCAAATCATTGATAAAGATGTTGAAGAACACTGGGCCCAGAACAGAGCCCTGGGGCACTCAATACACACTTTCCTCCATGTAGATGCAGTTCCATTGTTGAGTATGCTTGGTCAGCCAGCTACGAATCCATCTGGTGGTGATACTGTCTAACCCACATTTTTCTAACTTATCAAGTAGTAGGCTTTGATCTATTTTATCAAATGCCTTACTGAAGTCCAAATAAATTATATCCACAGCATTCCTCTTGTCCACTAATTTTGTCACCTAGTTAAAGAATGCAATAAGATTTGTCTGGCATGATCTCTTTTTGACAAATTCCTGGTGGGTTTTGGTTATGACATTGTTTGCCTCTGTAGATGTTCATTGATTTGTTGCTTGATAATCTTTTCCAGAATCTTCCCAGGTATTGAAGTCAGGCTGATAGGTCTGTAATTTCCTGGATCCATTTTTTTTTGAAGATGGGAACTACATCAGTTTTTTTCCAGTCCTCTAGTAGTTCTCCAGTGCTCCAAGATCTTTGAAAGATATAGTTCAGTGGCTCTGAGATCACATGTGCCAGTTCCTTCAGAATCTCGGGGTATAATCCATCTGGTCCTGCTGATTTGAATTCATCGAGGGTGGACAGGTATTCACTTACCATTTTCTTGCCTATTTTAACTTGTGTTTCTAATCTGTTTTTTATGGTACTGTTTCTGATAGGTTGACTGTTTTTTCCCTTTGTGTAAAGATGGATACAAAAAAAACCTGAAGTAGTTCTGCTTTCTCCCTGTTGCTTGTCACCTTCTTGTCACTTTCTCCTATTAATGAACCCATCATTTCTTTAACTTTTTTCTTGTTTTTTACATGTTGAAAGAAGCTTTTTTGTTATTTTTGACTTTTGTTGCAAGCCTTAATAGTTTTGAGCTTTAGCTTTCCTCAGTTCATCTTTGCAGGCTCGGGCTATTTTCTGACATTCTGCCTTAGTTATGTGCCCCTCTTTACACTTTTTATACATATGCTTTTTATCTTTTAATTTATCAGAGAGTTATGTATGCAGTCATGCTAGTTTCTTTTGAGAGCTTCATTTTTCTTCTTTGTTGGTATTGTGCTAGACTGGGCTTTTATAATCTCACTTTTCAAAATTTCCCAAGCTTCTTGAATTGTTTTCCCCATGAGGATTCTCATACATGGAATCCGTCCCAAGCTCTCCCTAAGTTTGTTGAAATTAGCTCTCTTAAAGTCCAAAACTTTAGTTTGTCTATGTTCTATTGCTTGCATAATGTTGAATTCCAATATTGCATGATCACTCCCCCCCAAGGTTCCTGTAGCTTCAACACTTTCTATCATTTCATCTCAGTTAGTGAGAATTAAAACCAATATGGCTGATCCCCTAGTTCCCTTAATTTACCTTCAAGTACTGTATTGCAAGCAATATCTGGCTCTAAATGAATACCATTATTTTGTATTTTATTCATCATTTTTTAGATTTATGTCATCATATCTGATTTATTTATCAGTCTTCTTACTCGCTTGTTTCAGATCTGCATATCTCCTGCAGAAGAAGCAACCAAACCTATTCACAAGTCTAATCTGTTTCATAAATTTTATTTAGGATTTTCCTGGTGGAGGAGATGGGTGGGGAACTGAGTCTTGTTTAAATCTTTGAGACTTAAAATTCCACCATACAGGTGGTTCAGCATATTGCCTCTGCTAGTTCTGAGCCAGCAATCCACATGATGTTTTCACAGTTGCCTTAAACTGAAACATTATTTTTTTAATTAATAATTTTTAAATTTTACAAAACAATTCCCTTCCCCACCCCCCACCCCCCACCCCCAACCCTCCCATACCCTTCCCCACCTCCCCAAACCTCCCATACCCTCCCCCAACCTTCCCAGAGCTGAGTACAGGCTTAG